CTTCTTAGGACACTTATTAAATTTTACCATGTAGTGGAGTAGTTTGTACATTTCTCTTATCCCAACAGGAAGCAAGGACTATATTTATTTATCACAACTCTCACCTCTGTATGTAGCTCAGAGTCTTGTACTCGATTAATACTCAGTAATATTCATTAAACAGAATTGAACTAAATTACCATTCAGTAAACCATGGAAGTGTTATTTTGCATTTTAGGTCATAGGTAAATACATACCTCAGTAGGAAACAGGAGGGCTGGGGCTCACACCGAGAAAGTCAAGGGAGATGAGTTTAGAGAGATTAAGCAGACATGGAGCTCCGTACAATTTAAGGAACTTGGATTTTGTCCTAGGGGTGAAGGGATGAATTTCAAGCAGGGGAGAAACAGTTTCACATTCACATTTGTTTTTTTAGAAAAATTAGTCTGGGAGCCAGCTGGAAAATGAAGTATAGAGAGTCACGACTGATGCCGAAAGCCAAAGGTGACAGTGACCTAGAGAAGAGTCAGAGGTGTCTGAGCTTTGCGATCTCTGTAACGGCGAGACTAGCAGAATCACTGTTCAACCAACCGAAGTACAACCGGGCAAGGTATGAAGGTGAAGACAGCAATTTTGATTTTTAAAATTTTTTTCTTTTTTATTGAGGTATTAAGCATAATATACTAAAGTATGTAAAGTACTTTATTTTGAAATGGACATCTTGATATATTTGTACACATGTATATACTAATGCAATGTCCAACCAGATCAAGAGAGAGAACACTTCCAGTACTTTCCATGCCCCTTCCTAATCAATAACTTGTTAATTATGATGGCAAAAAGTAATTTTATAGGGAAAATATCGCAGATGCCACTTTAACCAAGCTATCAAAGTTAATATCATCAAAATGAGACAAATTGACATCATGCATTTCCTGATATGATGCACCACAAAGGGCGAAGATGGCAACAAATTCTTTGACACTTTTCCCACAGGGAGGTGTGGCCTACGTCCCCTGCCTTGAACCAAGGCAGGCTCTGTGACTGCTCTGATGAATAGAACAAAAAAGTGATGCTCTGACAATTTCTGACAGTTCTCTTTCTTTGTCCTGTCACATTTGCTTCTGGAAGCCAGCTAGTCACTGTATTACAAGAAGCCCATATGGAGAGTATGCCTGTAGATGCTCTGATCCAGTCTTAGCTCAACTCTCAGCCAAAAACTGTCATCAACTGGCTGCCATTTGAGTGAGCCATCTTGGACGTCCAGCCCAGTTTAGCCTTCAGATGACACCAGCCTCAGCCACCACTACATTAGAGATCCGAAGGAAAACAGCCCAGCTGAGCTCCAACAATCTGCAAAACCATGAGAGAACAGCAAATTGATGGTTTAAGCTGCCAGGTTTTGAGTCTTGTTATGGAGCAATAGCTAAGGAAACAGCAGCTAACACTGTAAAACTGCAAGGTCCATGAGACTTTATCTTTCCTGCTGTGTCCTCAGCTTCCAGAATAGTGCCTGGAACACAGTAGATAGATCAATAAATATTTGTGATGAATAAATATACAAAAGAATAAATAATTAGCAATATATTATTGATTTGAGGAAATGATTTGAAAAGCCATTTCTCTTTTAAAAAACTATTAAGCAAAGTTTAAACGTGTCTTCTTTTTGCTTAATGAACTACTTGAGCAAGCAGAGAAAGTTTAAAAAATCATGCTATTAATCTTATATCTACATTCAGATGTGGGTCACTCATTTGACCTACCTAAAAGTGGGTCTCTTAAAAAATAGAATGTGGCAATCTAAATATTTAAGGGCCTCATTAAGGATACTGTTCTGAGGTTTTAGAATCTCTTAAAACTTTAAAAAATCTTTTATCTTACTTTCTGCTATTCCTCCTGAAGCATCAGGACCAGTAACAAAAGAAAAAAATAACCTAAGAGGAGAAAAGGTACTCATTTGCTTTGGTGACACTGAGGTATTTCTGGGAGGTTTGTAAGGCAAAAAATAATTTCTCTCCTCCTTTCCTTCCACAAGACAAATTTTGAGTGGTTTTTCCATTACTCGGCTCCTCATATGAACCAATAGCATCAGTTGTGGACCAGCACCAGGAGCAGGAAGGTATAGAAATGATTGAATAATGAATGGATAATCGTCTAAGGAGCAATGAATAGAGTTAATGCGAGCTGAATGCTCTCTGCAAGGGTTTCCCTACACTAATAATGATATTAATAATATATATGAGCCCATTTTGTTTCTTATTAGGGTAATTAAAAAGTGGCATCTGTTTATATACTCACCAACCCATATAAGAATTTGTGAAATCAAAATGCCATATATTGAAAAAAAGTGAACTAAAGAAAAATAAAAGTATTACACAAAAAACATACTCTTAAGTAACAAGCATCATTGAAAAATGAAAGGAAAGTATAGATAATTCTAAAATAAAAGTAATAATCTTCATTATATAGTTCAGTTAAATTACTGGATGATTGGTATTATGCTTACCTTCAAATGCAGGAAGACATTTAAAGAAAAATCTGGCTACAATATTTCCCATACACAAGTACTACAAAGTATACTAAAATAGCAAAATTACTCAAAAGCATTATCTCTAAATGGAATCTTTACTACCAAACATATATGTATTAATCAATACTTATCCTTCTGGAATAAGAAAAAGGCCTGAGGCTTATTTTAGGAATATACAAAATTTGTTTGTTTTTTTCCTCAGTGGTGTCCTCTATCTCCAGATGTGGATGTCAGTAATCAATCCCACACATAAATCCTTTTATTAGTTTACTTGCTTTGGAGCCATAAGTAGAGTTCATTGTCATTCAGGTGGCATTATTGTGGCTTTCTTCTTTCAAAACTAGGCCACCTTTCCAAAGCTTATATTCTCTCATGTAATGAAGAAATTTTCCCGTTCATCGAGACTGCAAACTGTTATCTACTTACTTTCATCTCAGGGATGACTTCTCAACTCCCAACTGCTGGCTTACCCCATTTTGATTAAATTCTTGTCCCAAAATTATTCGTCTTTATCATGACCTGCCTCTTGCCTTTTTCATCACAGGAAGCAAGGAGAAAGCAATTTTGGTGTTGCCTACTGTATACTTTACATCAATACATTAAAAAATTACAGAACTTCATCTCTGCTTAGGATTCTGTTCTAACCGGTGAGCTTCTCTCCTACAATTTGACTTGCGTGCTCCCAAGACATAATTCTGTTGTTGGAGCAGTGACAATGGCAAAAAAAAGACCAAGGAATTAGTGATCCGAATGCTCTGAATGTAAAGCTTTGGTTTTCATATAGGGATTTAGACCTAAGCGCTTCTGATATGTCATCATTTCTCCTAGCAGGTAATTCAGTCCTCTTATTCCTAAAGCAGAAGAAATGGAGTATTCATATAAACAAATGGATAGACATTCCTTCTTTCAAACTATTTAATGGATTGGTCTTTGTCAGGAAAAGTAAGATAGAGCAGCTATGAAGCAATAAGTATTGGTATTTAAGATGCATAAAATCATTTTAATCCTTTATATGTGCTTGTTTCTTATATATTTTTAACTTGTACTCAACAAGGTATCTTTAAGCACAGCCCCAATTCAGGGTGCTTTGAGCCACCTCAGTTCAGTCCCTCCAGGTATGGTACAGAAACTTCATCATCACACCACCAAAGATTGTCCAGGGCCCCATTCCCCTTTTCTTGGGATTATGGGTGTTTAAGGGCGTGAGGTAGATACGGAGGAGGGATGTCCATGTACACACATTAGTTAGGGCCAAGCAAAGGCCCCTGACAGAGATAGGGGTCACTCCTGAGGGGTTAATAGTGAGATGCTACATGTTGAGGAAGTGGAGGTAAGAGGGTTGCATCCAGATCCCAGGTGGCCTTCAAGACCTCCATTAGTGCCTTTTGTGGTTAGGATGACCATACCTCCTAGTTTGTCCAAGACATTCCAGTTTATGCCTATTACCTCTATTATTCTAATGTAATTGCTGCCCTTTTCAGTCACAAAAGTGTCCCAGTTTGGGCAATATTATATCATCACCTTATTTATCGTAGAACTTTGCCAAAACAACCCACTTGGGCACCTTTTCCTCTATCGGCTTCCTGGACCCCAGTTCTTCTGCCCACCCTATGCTTAACCTCCCTCTCCTCTCCTGACCCTGCTAACCCCAAATCTTTTTTAAAATCTCCAGGGATTCTTTCCTTTTCCCCTTCATCACACCTGAGAAAGCTTGTCTCCTTCAAACGCCTTCAAAGCCACCCTTCTATCTCCTACTCCTTCCTTTTATTCTTACACAGTAAACTTTAGAACCAAGAGGTGATATTTAACCTACACAGATGGTCAGCACACACTCTTTCTGGAGAGTCTGGTGCCACACTGGCCACTAAATATTTTTTAAAAGTCCCTGATACAGAGCCCATGAACAAGGGAGTCTCTCAGACTTACTAAACGTCTATCACAGCAGACGGGGCCCAGACATCCATGTCTCCAGAGCTCTACAGGTGATTCTCATGCACAGCGGGCACTGAGCAGTCCTGGCCTCACATGTCCCAAGCCACCTCACTTGACTCCTATAATCCCACAGAGAGGCAACACAGTGTAGCAGTCAGAAGCAGTTTTGAAAACAACCTACTAGGGTTTAAATCCACGTTCCACCACTCACTAAGTGGTTCACCACTCTGAAAATCTTGAAGATACTTTGGATCTCTCTCTGCTTCAATTTTCTCTGTAAAATATGGTTTACAGTAGTACTCACCCTCATACTTGCAATAAATATTAAGCAAGTTAATCCATGCAAAGCACCTAGATGAGTGCCGAGGACAGCAACTATTTTTAAAATGTTAGCAATCATTACCTGTTTTACAGTTGAAATCACTTCCAAGATCACACCGCTAGTGGTGATGCTGAGATTGATACCCAGGTTTTCTGAATCTAAACTCCACACTTTCCAGGATGCGACTACTACCCAAGCACTCTCCTACGTGTAATAAAAAGCAGCAATAGGCCAATGAATGATATGGGAAGTACTTTATTTTATCATGTGACACCATGTAACAGCCATATTTACAGCTGCCTGACCAGTGCAGATTTGAATAGGGAAGATGGCTCAGAAACAGCAGTATTAGTAATTCAAGTATTGACCCTTATTTGATAAAGGGAAAGTTCTGATGACTGATTTACCAGTTTTAAAATAGAATTTTATATTCAGAGTTATTTTCTTAAAAGAATTAGTTTTGAACCAAATATATACTAGGTATAGTTTATTCACATAATGAAACTGCATTTGAAAACAAACATTTCCCACCTTTTCTTTTCTCAGCATTATGAATGCCTCATTCCATCATCATGATGGATTCCTCAGAATCTTCCATACCATTTCCAGGGGAACCCCTGCAAAGCAGCAAATGTCTACCTTCTCTCAGAAAGAAACTGATAACCTGGAATTTTTCTTATCACTTTCCCCAATATTCCTAAAACTCGCAGCTCTGCTCTTTGGAGAGATGCTTCTTTTTGTCACAACAGAAAAAAAAACACCCCTAGGATTTAGAAAACCTAAATTATGGGCCTGGCTATGTCATAAACTACAGAATAATCTTAAAAAAGTCATGAAACGTCCCCAGGCCTCTGTTCTCAAATACAGAAAAGTCAGTCGTTATTTGTTCAGTCCTTTGTGGTCCTTTATTTATCTTCACAGTAACCCTCAGATTTAAGTCAGGCTGCATTATACTCATTTCATGGAGGAAATTCAATCTCAAAGAGGTTACACAATCTACCCCAAATCCCACAGGTAGTAATATGACAAAGCCAAATTTACACAATCTTGCTCAAGACCCCAGTACTCTTACACATTATGCTCATAAGTTTGTTAAATGGATGAAGAAGCAATTTCCCAGGTCCCTTCTAATGATCACATTGTATATGATTCTACTTGCTAATTTTTCTCTCCTCTTTCAGCCAGCATTTAAATTAGAAGATATACACATTTGATCACTAAATTTCATTTACCACAGTTCTTTGATTTAACCATTCTTTAAAATTTTCTTGTATTTCTACATTAAGTCAAGAAAAAAGTTATTTTTTTCAGATAGCTCCAACTACTGCTTGCCTCTCTGAAAGCTTTTGGACTGATCTGTTTGTCAAAGCAGAGATTGTTAAAATTTTATAAACACCAATTCCTTCTCATAATTTTAAAGAGCTATTCCATATATAAAACCAACTCAAAACAAAAGTAGTTCTAATTCTTATTCCCTGTAGTAGTAAAAATGTATTTTTCTCTTGATTTGGTATCGAGTCTCCTGTCTTTATTTAGAAAATAGTTATTCTACCTCACTGTCAAGTCTCTCTTTCCCTAACAAGAAAATGTCAGTCTTAAGAGACAGGAAAGCTCTTACTTTCACTATTCCATAAGAATAAACTAATCATCTAAATTGGAAGATGAAACTTTGAATGTTAAATGAGGAATTCAGGACACTTCCCAAGAGGCCAAATGACATTTAAAAGCTGATATGATATGTGCCTAAAATAACACATTAATTCTTTTATTTATGATAAATTTGTACATGTGCTTAGTCATGCTGATATACATATGAGCATATGCCTAAACCAAAATAAAGTTTAAAAGAAAACAAAATTCAATCTCAGCAATACTGAAAATTCAGCAGAGCTCAATAAATAGTGTGGCCTCACAAGGAGGGAGTTTTAAACATTCAGTAATTTATATAATTTAACATGCTAAAAGTAAGAAAATAAACAGGGCATGGGGATGGGGAGTATGTATAGGAAAAGTAACTTCAAGATTTTCTTCATTTTGATTCGATTGCTTTCTTGTCTTCAGGAGGGAAGATTTTGACTTCAAAAGTAATAAAATACTTGAGAAGGGAATTGACATCTTTCTGATCTAGATAGTATTCTTCTGCTATTTTCTCAGCAGTCCATGTTTCTGGATAAAGTTTATGATTATTGAGAAGTGTCAAAGCCTCTGCAACAGAAATTTTGCCTTTGGGAATGTTCTTAATATTCATCATGTCAAAGTGATGGCCTTTCGGCAGTCTGAATTCCTTTGGCTCCTGAGGTGTTCCAGCATCTTTTACCTAGTACCGAAAGACAAAACAAAAAAGGGTTTCAAGATGAGAGAAAAGACCTGACATCTACTTTCATGCTTCTCAAATCTCCACTATTCTTCTTCAAATAAATGCTTCACATGCTTAAACTACATTTTCTCATTATAATGAGCCATAGTTTGATGGCACTTTTGCCATGTTGCCATTTCATAACTATATCTTAATCATCATTAAGAAATTTAGGTAGTTCTAGAAAGTAATTATTGAATATATACCATCTACTCACATTATTTCATGTACATTAATGAATAAAACGATCAGATTAAAAACTGCTTAGAAGGGCGAGATTCTGATGCTGCCCTAACAACTTACTTGATAATCTCCATTCTGTTTCCTAGTTTTATATTTCATATTCGATGCCCCCAAACACCTTGAAAGAATTCAAATATTGGTGGAGATCTTCCAAGAAAATAACCTAATCCCTCCAATACCCCAAGTGATATCAATAAAACTACCTATGCACACCCATCTTTCTGTCCGTCTGTCCTACCCGAGCTTAATCCTTGCATTTGTCCCCTGTATTTCACTCCTCCTACCCAGCTATGCCCATCATTCCCTTTTCCTCTGCCTTTCAACTGCACCCCAGCTACTGCTGCTGTTCCATCAAAGTATAAAAATGCTATAGTCACTACTATTTAGAAACACCAAACCCAAAACCAACACTTCCTTTATGACCAGTTTCCTTCTTTTTAGTTAAGCTTTAGAAGATAATGATATTTGTGATCTCTAATCCAGAGGATTAGATCTTAACTCAGAGGACACTTTTCAGGCTTTATTTGAACTCACTACAGCATCCGATGCTGTTGACTTCTCCAAAGTGCCCATAACTGTCTTTCCCCTTGGTTTCCATGCCAACCCACTCCTGGTTTTCCATCTCTCTCTCCAGTGGTCCCTTCTTTGTTTTCTTTGTGATCTGTTTCCCTACAGCTGCCCCTTAAATGTTAGTGTGTCCCAAGTTCTGGCCCAGGCCCTTTTTTCATTCTACACATTCTTCCTAAGTAATCCCACACACCCCCTGAACTTTCATGACTACCTACATGTTAATGACTTTCAAATTTGATCTCAAACCTAGACCTTTCTCTTGACTTGCAGACCCAAACTCCCAAATGCCTAATGGGCATCTCCACTTGGACAATCTACAAGCAACTTAAAATCAACATCTCTAAAACTGAACTTATCCCTTTCTCTGAAAATCCAATGCTATCCTCATATTGTCTCTCTCAGTGACCAATACCACCCACCTCCCATATCTCATTCCAAAACTCAAAGTTTCTCTTACGTCACGTTATCCCTGTCATCCCCCCTCCTTCACGCATTACAGCCAATCAATGACGAAATTCTGTTGATGCCGCCTCCTCTCAAACCCCTCACTTCTCTCCCAGTCACTACATCAGCCCAGTCCAAGCCAACGTCTCCAGCAGAAAGGGCGGTAAAAGCCTCCTAAGTGGTCTCCTCTACCCAGATAAAATGCTGGTTCCCTCCCAGCCCACTCTCAAAACTGCCCCTATTATGAAGCAGATCTGAGGGAGACATGAAACTTCTCAATGACTTCCCATTGTTCTCAGGATAAAACCCAAAGACAATAAGGATCTTCACGATCTGGCCCCTACCACCCCATCCCACCTCATTTCTCCCAAATTCACCCCTCACACTTCCCCCTAACTGTATAGAACTCCAACTGTTCTGCAAAGGCATCATGCTCTCTCCTACCTTCATATCGTAACTCTGGCCTGAAACACTCTTCCCAACTTCTTCACCTTCCTAAACTCCAGGCTTCTCTTACCTTCCGCCTTCCACTCCAAACCACTTTTACTCAGACTTCCCTTCTGATCATTCTTAAATACTAAGATTAGTATTATTATGACACTAAAAAATAACTGATAAGGGGCCGGCCCCGTGGCCAAGTGGTTAAGTTCATGTGCTCCACTTTGGCGACCCAGGGTTTTGCTGGTTCGGATCCTGGGTGCAGACATGGCACCACTCATCAAGCCATGCTGAGGCAGCATCCCACACGCCACAACTAGAAGGACCTACAACTAAAATATGCAACTATGTACTGGGGGGATTTGGGGAGAAAAACCAAGGGCAAAAAAAAAGAAGACTGGCAACAGTTGTTAGCTCAGGAGCCAATCTTAAAAAAAAACAAAAAAATCTGATAAAATTCAACATGTTCTCTTGACTAAAAAATACCTTAAACTGGAAACAGAAGAAAATGTCCCAAATGTGATAAAAGTATTTCTTAATCAGAAACCATGTCATTTTATTATAATTAATGCTGAAACATTAGAGGCTCCTATGTAAGGAAAGAACAGGATAGAATACCAACTTGCCCTGCTACGTAAATGCTACAGACAACATAGAGAAGAATTAAATATAAATACTAGAAAGAAAATGGTAATTCTATGCTAATGATATGAGAGTATCTTTAGAAAAATAAGAGAATCAACTGGAAAACTAACAGAAATGATAACCTCACATTGTGGTTAGCGACAATACAAAAATCACTCACTTTCGGACATATTAGCAATAAACAATTAAAAAACTTCAGGTGAAAAAGATTCCATAGTAACAACCTTCACTCTATCCCCCAAAGACTCAGTAAAACAAAGATGCGAATTCTCCTCAAATTAGTCTATAAAATTCCAATTCAATCAAACTCAAAATCCAAATAGAACTTACTTAAGAACCTGACAACTTGATTCTCAAGTTCATCTAGGAAAAAAATGTGACAAGAGCCAAGAAACTTTTGAATAGAAAGAGATAAGATGGTAACATATATCAAGACACATTATAAAGGTGAAAATATTATTCTAGTATAGAAACACAAAAATAAGTAAACAGAACTGATCAATCCATAAACAGACCTGTATGTGTATGTATTAGCATTTTGAGTCGAAAAAGGAGTGCGTTTATTCAACAAATTATATTTAGACAACTGACCATCCAGTTGAAAAGATCTCCACACACCACTTATTTAACATCCAATAAAGACTTTAACATAAAATACACACTCATAAAAGTACTAGAAGAAAATATAGAAGACTGTTTTTATGTTAGAGTGAGCTCAGACTTCCTATACCAGGAAGGACAAAAAGGCTAACATACTTGAAAGAACTTTGAGCAGCAATAAATAAATAAGTTAAAAACTCAGACAAAAAATAAATTACTTGACATGTCATAGGCACAGTATCACTAATGTCTAGAGACATCACAAATCATTAAGAAAACTACACACTGCCCAAAAGGAAAAAAGGGACAAAGAACATAAATAGATACTTCAACCTTTTTTTCATTATCACGACCCCATGAGTCTTTTTAGACTTTTCCTAATACCCACCGTGAAATTTTAATATCACTGTGTATCTCTTTATCTATTATGTCCATATATCTGTGTTTTATACAAAAAAGCATTATTTTTTTTTCCGCTCCCCAGAGCCAACTTTCAAATGCAAGATTTAGTATAACACGAGAAATAATACTTGGAAGTACTGTTCAACACCTGTCTAAAAATAACATGAACATCAACCCCTATAACTTTTTACGTGAGCATCTGGTGATAACTGAACTCTACAATTGCTATTATATGCAGTAGTTTCCAAACTTTATTTTGCATATGAGTCTTCTCTTCTCTAGCAAAAATTGTATTAATATCTCTATCTGTGTAAACAGTCTATTGGCTATCTAGAGAGAGAGAGACATAAGCAGAGAATTTTAGAGTGGAAAAAACTGGGGAGTTGTCACTGGCATTTCCCTCTCCTTTGATCAAACTCTTCCCCTACTTAGAACCTTCCTGCCCCACACACTCACTTGGATAACTCCCACTCATCCTTCAGGGCTGAGCTTAAATGTCACTTCCTCAGACACCATCCATGATCCTCCAATCTCAAATAGGCCCCTCTGATATACACTCACAACACCTGTACTTCTCTATCACAGACATATCAGTAATTCCATGCTTATGGTTGCTCTTCCGTTTAATGCCTGTGTCCCTCACAATACCATAAGCACCACGAGACTAAAGACCAGGTCTACTGTGTTCATCACTATATACAAAGCACTTGTGCCTGACATTTATATATGGATTTACATATAGGTTCCCATTCCCAATGTATTCTGTGATCTCCCTTTCTTCCTTTCCTATCTGAATATGTCCTTAAAAACCAAAAACAAAGGAACACCAACAACACACTACTAAAGGAATCCCAAAGAGTAGAACATACCTCAATCCACTGAAGGATGAGAAAATAGTATTAAAGCTCTCCTTTGGTCATTCAAATGACAATCACTAGAAGTACCCTACCAAAACCGACAAATTCTGAAATATCAAATAATTCACATAATTCATTCGATCAATACTTTCATCACAAGTGTTTTAGAATTTCAGTAAATATCCAAGGAACCAAGGCATGCGTGCCTTGCTTAGACCACTGTGCTTAAATTTTTCCAAAGCACCAGATTCTAGTCATAACTACACTGACATTTTACACTTGCAAAGCATTCACTTTCTTTGCCAATTGCCACTTCTCTTGATCATTTTCCTAGTGCCCAAAAAGGTTAAATAATTTATTTACTTCCTTTAAACATACATTACCTGCACAGAAGACACAGGATCTTTGGAATCGACATACACATCTTTCAGTAATGACAGCAATTTGTCATCTTTTCTAGCAATTTCTCCCTTAATTTCTGGATGGACTAAGGAAAGAAAAAGAAATGTCACAAAATTAAAACCAAAGATTTCCTCTAAGATCCTGAACACTTAACACAAGACAGTCACTCTGTATTTTTCGTTTAATAAATAATCATTCGGACAGTACAGAAAGTAGTTTAAACGCAAATCAAAATGCTAAGTCAAGCTTGGCGTCCATCGATCAGGGAAGACCCACATGATTCCTTCTGACTCATGCCCACTATCAGGTCGCTAAGTGTTAAGGATAAAAGGCCCGAGTACCGGGGCAGCGGAGCACAGGCCGCCTCCCCGGGGACTACGAAGGAGGCGGAGCCGCCCCTCCACCGCGGGCGCGAGGGCACACTCTCAATGTCACCGGCTTGGCGGCTCCGCCTTCCGGCGCTCGGCTGACCCGCGTCGCTGCGGCCGAGCAGGTGGAGAGCGGTCACCCGGTCACCGGCCCGAGGTCCACTGGCGCGGACCCGCCCAGCCCGCGCCGGGGCTCGCCAGCGCGCCGCGCCCCGCACCACTCACAGCTCAGCTGCTCTTGCAGGAGGCTCTTGGTGGAGGGGTGCCTGGGAGCGGGAGACGGCTTCATCCTGCTAATTTCCCGTTCCGCGCGGTTCTCCAGGTTGAAATTCCTGAACACGCGAGCCAACGAAGCCCCCATCGCCTCACAACATGATGCCCTCGGTTCACGCCGCACGTGGGAAAACACTGGCGCCGGCGACCTCCGTAACCAACTGAGCATGCGCACGTCTGGGGTCGCCCGGCCGCGCGCCGGAAAACGGGAGCTAAATGCGCGCCGTTCGCCCCCTAGCGGTCGGGAGGAGACACGCCGCGTCTCGGCCCAGAGGGTATCAAAGGGAGCGCCTCCCTCCCGGGCGGGAGACGTGCTCCCTCCAGCGGCCGCTTCCCGCGCGAGGGGGCGGGGCTCCAGGCTCAGACCCGCGGTGGTTCTCGCCCCTGGAGACTCGTGGAGTCGCGCGGGAAGTTTTAAGCAGTGGCATGTTGGGCCACACCCCAGACTTTCTGATTTAATTTCTGTGGAGTGAGGTCCTGCATTGGCTCAAGCTTGCCACGTGGGTCCAAAGTTGCAGTCTGAGGAGAGAATCAAAGTTGTACGGAAATTGACCTTGAAGACCTTTCACAGGTCAGTGCAGCCAAAGAGGAAGCCAACAAAAATGGAACTAATTGCACCAGGATAAAGGAAGGGTCTAAAATTGCCCTTTCCTGCTTTAGTGAAAGGAAAATAATGAAAGTGTATTCCTTCTCGATAAATATTTGTTCTCAGTCATTCTTTTGTTAAAACGCCCCTTATTTTCCTGTCCCCTTGCCTGATACATTCCGAGCCACCGTGTTCTCTTTTTCCATGATCTTTTACATCCTGCTCTCATAACTCAGTTGACCTAATTATCGATTTCGGTTATGCTTTCTTTTCCTTTGTCTTTATTTTTGCTACTAATTTGTGTTATTTCTCCATGCCATTAAGTGCTGAGTCACCGCTTCATTTCCTAGCCTATTTCTCCTTTCTCCTGCCTTCCTCATTCTTTTTAAGCCAGGGCAACTCCGTGTAACTTAATGAAAGGAATAGCCAATGAGACATTAGAAAAGAATGAGTGTTGTCACATTTCTCCCTCTCTCTCCCCCATTTCTGAATGGATTACTGTGTTTGCTGCTTTTATTTAAGATTCTTTAGAAATATTGTCATTAATCCATAATAAAAGAACCCACCAGGAAATAGGGTTTCCAGAGTTAAGACTATTTCTCACAGACTGTGGCTGCGAGATCTGTTTTTGGTGTTCTCAGCTCTGCTTAGTGAAATGACGTTGGTTGGTTGTTTTTAACCAGTTAAAAGCGAGAAAAGAATCGATGTAAAAATAATTGAATCGAAGTAATTTTTTTTAAAAAGAATCTAAGTAAAGAAAGGAGCAGTTTTATTTAAAGAAAACGAATGTAATTATTAAATATAATATTCAATCTTAGCAAAAAGTCCTACAAGGAACAAAGCTTCCACCATTGATTCTCGTGACACATTCTTACTGGGATTGGTATTTGGAATTTACAGAGGCTGAAGCCAGTGTTCTCTGGTCGAGTTAGTTGGGAAGTTATCCTGAAGGTGGCAGGCTGCTCCAAGATTTCCATCTTTGAGACAGAAGCATGCTCCTAACTCAATGCTTTTTAGCCCAAGTATTCATATTTCCACGGTGGCAAGAAGTTTTCATCTGCCTGATTATGTCCATAAGCTTCAACAACTATGGTAGCAATTCCACTTTTAATAGGCAATGGCCTATTAAAATATTTTAGAAGTGAAAAAATCGTTTTCATAGAAATTCCTCCACACTTCTGGCAGCATGAAAAAACAGTATTAGACAGAAGTTACAGGAAGTGTAGGAGATGGTGGGGATTACCGCATGAAAGTATTCCCTGAATTCCCACCTTTAGGTAGAGTTTGGATTCAACATTTAAGGAGCGTCCAACCTGTGTCAGCTGCTTTGCCTGGTCCTGGCCTCAAAGAGCAGAACAGAAGGCAGAGATACTCCACCAGAAATGCCCAATTGACTGTCACCCCTTGGGAATCATCACGGAAATAAAACCTGAACCACAAATGCATAATTCCAGCTCTTCTTGTCAAAACATATAAATTAGCAGGAAGTCTGACCTCAGAAATCCCCCTGGGCTTATGTTAAGGGTTGATGTCAGGTCCCCAAGGAAAGTATAACTAGGTTGCTGCTCAGAATTAAGCAGCATCTCTCTGAGTGGAGTGTTATTATGGGTATGTATTGCTGAATATTTTAGGATACAAATAAAATAAACCCAGGGTCTTGCCAACACACAGGAATGTAAAAATTCTATGAGAAAAGGAATTTTTGTCTGTTTTGTTCACTGCTGTTTCCATCACATTAAACAGTGCCTGGTACACAATAGGAACTAAACAAATGTCAAGTAAATCTCAAAAGAACCCAAAGACAAGTAGGGCCTGAGCTGGAGTCTAGGCGCTGGACAGGCTCTCTCTGCCTGAACACCAGCCCCTTGAGAGAAGTGAGTCCTTGTGGAAGTCACTCACTCTGGTTGAACCCACTTTCCTCATCTTAAAGCTGGGATGGGGGCCAGCCCCGTGGCTGAGTGGTTAAGTTCGTGTGCTCCTCTTCGGCAGCCCAGGGTTTTGCTGGTTCAGATCCTGGGCGCAGACATGGCACTGCTCATCAGGCCATGTTGAGGCAGCGTCCCACATGCCACAACTAGAAGGACCCACAACTAAAAGTATATAACTATCTATTGGGGGGGATTTGAAGAAAAAGCAAAAAAAAAAAAAAAAAAAAAAAGAGAGAGATTGGCAAGTTGTTAGCTCAGGTGTCAATCTTTAAAAAGAAAAAAAAGCTGGGATGATAGTAATTATCTAATGGGTTTCACACAGTTTAAAAACATGAAGTGTCTAGTAGAGAGCCTAGCTCAGAATATGATGTTCTATATTTGTATTGCTTTCCATTTTCCAGAGGAGCAGGGAGAAGTTTGAAAAAGAACCAAAGATATTCTGAAAGCCCTGGTCTACAGGTGAACGAAGGGATAAAAATAACTAAATATCTGAAAGTAAAGTAAGACCTATGTCCTCCAAGAATTTAGTTTAAAAAATATGTGTTCTAAATTTGAGTTTTATTTGCTGATTTGCGTACTCTGCACACATGGTGGCGTTGCTGAGCTCACTGAGGTTGGAATTTGGGCGGGAATCATTAACTCGGCCACAAAATTCCCCCTGCCTTTGCCTGGCGCTGGCGGCAGAAATAGTGCCTAGCTAGTCTCCTCCTTGCTTCCCTCCCCTCTCCTCAATCTTTCTCTCTCTGCCTAGACTTTCACCTTCATGCACTCCTTCCTGTGAACATAATTCAACAGCATTCTATATTCTTCAAAGGATTGCAGTCACTAAACCCAAGTGACAGGTGACTCAAGGAGCCCAGGATAGCCCCCAGAGATTGCACTGCTCAAACCCCAACCACTAATGAGCCACGCAGCAGATTTGCAGAGAAATAACTCATCCCGGTGGAGGTGTCCCCATTCAGGCAGAGAGAACCTTTCCAGGGCCTGGACTCCAGCCCAGTGGCCAGGGAATTTGTGAGAATCCAACTGAGGTCTTTTACAAGGTTCCCAAGTTTGGCTAGCTTTGTAGCAATGCAGTGTTGTAGGTTTGTGAAACCCAGAATAGTTGGGGGGGAAGAAACCCAAAACTCAAAAACCAAACAAACCAGGCTTTGGGCAGATCCAGTGTTCATAGTGAGAAACACTGGGTCTCACAGATTAGAGTTACCAACCAGCAGTTAGACCCAGGTGCCTGCGCTGCGGCTACTGCAACTCATGACTTTGCCACTGTTTTAGTTTCCCATTGCTACTAACAAATTACCGCAAAATTGTGCCTTAAGAGTGGACAAATGTATTCTCTTAACAGTTCTGGAGGTCAGAAGTCCAAAATGGGTCTCGGAAGGCTAGAATCAGGTGTCAGCAAAGTTGTCTTCCTCCTGGCGCTAGGAAAGAATCCCTTTCCTTGTCTTTTTGGCTTCTAGGGACTTCCAGCCTTTCTTGGCAGCCAGCAATTGCATCATTTCATTGTCCTATCTCCTTCTCTGACTATGACTCTCCTGCCTCCCTCTTTCACTTATACCACTCTTGTGATTACATTGGGTCTCATGTGGATAATCCAAGATAATCTCCCCATCTCAAGATCCTTAATTTAATCACATCCGCAAAGTACCTTTTGCAGGTTCTGGGGATTAAGAGGTGGACATCTTTGGGGCACCATTGTGCTGCCCACCACAGTCATCATCTTCAGAATATCCATATCTAGCAGGGTAGTTATGATCAGTTTAGTAAAATTCAATGATAGAATGATGGAGAGAATGCCTGGAATTCTTCATTCAGCCCCACAGTGCTGATATTCCAATTTTTCAACCTGCTGGTTGAAAGAATAAAACCAGCTTGCTTGAGCCGTAGTATTCTTTCTCTCAGGTTTTGCCTAAGAGCCATAGTAGCTCACTAGCAAATTTGCCACTACTTTGCCAGGTCTGTATGTTGCACAGGAGGCAGTTTTTCTTGGGTCCCCAACCTCTCGTTTTCTCTGGAGCACCTATGTCTGAGAAGCCTCAGTGAGCAACAATATGAATCTCCCTTGTATATAAAGCAGTATGACCAGTTTCTCTAATGATGGCATCTTAGAGATAGCAGGAGTCTACCACCTTTCTCTCCTTAGTCTTCTTTCCACTCCCTTATTTCCCTCTCGGCTTAGAATTTCACCATCACCCCCAACTCTGCTTTTTTATCCCGATCGTTCCCCCTTTGGCTAGCTCCTCTCTCCCTCTGTCTCTGGGAATTGCATGCCTCCCTCTAAACTTTAGTGCACACAGCCCCCTGCTGCGTCTCATTTCTGCTGGATGTAACACTGTTAGCCAAGGCAGGGAGACAGGTGGGGTAGGCAGAAATCTATGACCCCTAGTGACCCTAAGCAGAGAACCCAGTTGAGCCTGCCTGGACTTCTGACCTACAGAACTATGAGATACTAAATGGATATAGTTTTAAGCCTCTAAGTCTGTGGTGACTAGTTATGCAGCCATAGAAAATGAATATAGCAGGGAGTCTGAGAGTCAGATTGGGGATGAAGTGGGTGGGTTTGAACCCACAAACCCAGGAGGGTTCAAGGATTGCATTCTGCCCCCTGCCCCACCGCCACATCTCACTCAACATATCAAGTGCCTGACAACACACCAACACGCTGTAT